TATTTACTGCACCTTTTCCATTCCTTTCCATTGCATTATTACTTTTATTAACTGATTATTTTGTTTTCATGATGTTTTTCCGTGTTGTTGTTTGAACTCAACAGGTAAACAAATAGGCAGTTCCCCACAAAGACCTTTATTTCTCGTATTTTCTTTCAAGCAGTCTATACACCGGTTTTCCCGGATGTTTACATTTTCGAGTACTTGATAATGGTCTTTGTTTCATGAGTTTCATGAGGATGAGTTTCAGTCTCACTCGATCGGCTCATCAGGATGTTAGCCTACATTGGAGCAGCTATCATCGTTTTACCGACGTCTTTGTGGCTGTACACGAGAATTTCCTCAAAAGTTAGTTGAGTGTTTCATATAACTACTACAGTATGCACTATGTTGGCTTGGGGAGGAGCAGACAGAGATGGGAGGGTGTTGGTAGAGCCTGCGATGAGGTGGGTAGTAGCTGTGGTTTACCCAACCACGACTCTTTTTAATAAAGGCAGTTAGTGCTAGTGCCTTCGTTATTGTCACCATAGGACATGGGCTTAGGCCCTATTGGTTTAGTCCTTTTCCTCCGATTTCTAAATTCTCTTACTCTGATTGACATTGATTTACTCAAACCCGAAAAGGCCAATAATCATGGGTCCCGTCTACAGGATCTCGCTGTCCCCCCTCTCTTTTCCTTTCCCGAACCCGCATAGCCCAGTGAATAACCTGGATTTTTTTGTGTTGAGAGTGAATTCTATGGCTGATTCCAGAAACCACAAGTCTTTGCAAAAGCCGATAGTGCGCTGTTTGTTCGTGTGAAGAACAACCTACCGGCACTGCAGAAGGTAAGCAATCACTTCACTTCACTATTTGTTAGTTCTTCAAAACCTATTATCGCATCAACTGTTTATACTTGGAGGACCTTATTCTGTGAGAGCCGTTGCCGCAAAAGCGGCCGGTCATCCTGTGCTTTGAATGCGAATCGATTAATAATCTAGGCATTGCTTAAACCTAAGAGGGATTAGGGCAGTCATATTTCTGTCCCTAATCCGTCAAGCTGAAGCCACAACTGCACTCTTGAGTGACTGACATTCGCAAAGCAAAGGACAACCGATGCCCTTCCCTTATTAGTCCCAACAGCTTATATCAGTGAAATATGGCCGGATCCAAAGTGAGCAAACTATAGGCACTTCAATCCCACACCCACATCGGCCTACTGTCCCCAGTCTGAATTAGCCTACTCCCTTTTCTAATGCTTTAGAGGCATCCCCCGTCATGCTCATGCCGTGAAACTCGCTTCTCGGATAGGAAACGCATCAGCGCCAAATTCCAGTGTCAGCTCATGTACCGTAATCGAAAAATGCCGTTGAAAAAAGGTAAAGGGTGCCGGTGCATAACACGCGTCAGATTTCACGCCCTCTGTTGCAGTTGTTCATTTCCTTGTAAAGGTAACTCGAGAACTACTCATGGTGTTACTTAGGTGTATCGAATTCCATGGTGGTGCCCATTTGGTGATGTACAAACGATAGTAAATGGTGCATTGAGGAAATGTCCTTTGTTGCCTTTTGTCAGGTTAGTTTCCTTGAAATTATCAAGGTTTCGGCTTTCTTACGTCTGTTTCGACCTTATCTTCTCTATTTTTGAAGAATTAGGAGCTGCAGTTAAGCTCTTTCCGGATTACATTCGCTTCTTATAGTCATAAAATAATTTCATCGGTCTGAGGGTATTCACGGCCCAGACTTAGTCCTGTGAAATACTTCCTAGTTTACAAGAACTATGATTGCGCTTTCCTTTTCTTGAGTATTCAGTTGTCACGAAGTTGAAATATTACTCTTCTATCTTCTCAGCAATATTTCAGGGAAGTAATTGAATTTGCCGATGGTGGTGCATTGGGGATCGATTGGCTTTTTGCGGATGACTGCAAGGAAGATGCTCCAATAGTGCTTTTCCTACCAGGAATAACAGGTACCTTACTAACTAGGGAATTTGTGGGTTTTTCTGGACTTCATTAATCGTTCTTCGGTCATCTCGTATCGCAGTTGCCATATTTTAAACATCGAGCACAGCGCTATTCCTACTCAACATGTCGTGTTAACGAACTCTACGCGCATAGCCAATCATGCGCGTCTGACCAATCAATAAATAGTATATTGTGTACTGTATGATTATGATTATTTCTTAATGTTAAGGGTCGACCCGTGATTGTGCGTATATACTATATCCAGCTCAAGAAATTTATGCTCGTAAATGGAGAGTTGTAGTATATAACCCTCGTGGGCTTGGAGGCGTTCATCTGCGGAACAAAATGTGAGTTTTTTATGTACTATTTGAACAGATTCAGCATGGACCTCCGAATTTCTTTTTCTTTTTTTTTTGCTTGCGCCATGTCCTTTAATGTCTAAATGTCTACCCTATTCTTGGCGCACTTGAAAAAGTTTTCTGCTTTTGATTTTGAGTACTCCACTTGTGATTTGAAGAGGCTATTCATTCAAGGGGAAGGCACTGTTTTTTTAAGTTTCCTGCGTTTTCTGCTTCTATGGATTCAGAGGCTGAAGGATGCTTCTATAGGTGACCAATTCCTGGCTTTTATAGGGGACGAGGGAACGGAAATTAGATTTTCCCATCATCCTATTGCGCATATTCTTCGAATAACGAGACATAACAAAGACGGCGTTTTTCCAAGGCACTATACCCCTGCATTCTGTGATTTTCAAGAATCTCACACATTTTATGTGTTAGAACCAAAAACTCCACAGGAAATCGGTCCCGGTTTTATATGCAGGGGTTTTTTTTAAAGAAAAGAATCAATTACCAAAATTGATTGAATCATTCGGATCAGTTTAGTAGAGGTTGTTGATGGATCGACACCTTTGTTTGGTTTTTTCATTCAAAATCTTTTCACTTTTAAGAGCCTACAACTCTGTGCGTCATGATGATGTTGCCGAGGTCATACAACGAATTTCATCGAGATATCCTAACGCAAAGATTGTTGGTTGTGGTTTTAGTATGGGCGGGTTAGTATTGTTTTTCTTTTATTTGTTTACTATTGATAAGTATTTCACCTCTCTCCACTCAGAATGGTTCTATGGAACTATCTGGCAACATGCACAGCTGAATCTGCGGTACTATCAGGTGCTATGATTGTTTCTGCTCCTTTTGACCCGTTATCGACAACAACTTCCTTGGAGGTATACGGTTGTTAGGATTCTTTATGAGAAGGTGACCGTAATGAATCTGATATTTTCAGAGTTTCTTTGCAAAACACGTGTATAATCGCCATATTACGAAGAAACTTGTGGAGTTTGCGGAAAGGTACTTCATCTTCAGGGTCTTCATTGTTATGATGAAGTGTCATTTTCACTTCCCATCTCCTCTACTCCTTTTGCAATGCATTTTGAAGAAATCTGTGCTGTCGTTATATAGGCCATAGGCCTTAGGGGTTGTTGAGTTCGGGAGGCCGTAATTTTACTTGACGCATATCTTATGGCTTCTGGCCATCAACTTCGATGTGTTCTTATAATAAAAAGGAATCAATCTTGGCGAAGCTCAGGACTTTCTTATGGGGGAACCTTNAAGCTGGTGTAATGTAGTGGGGATGGCATGGGATTGAGGCTTTTCCATCCTTCCTTAGGAGTTATTATTGGGCGTAGCAAGATTAAGAACATTATTTCAACACCTAGTTACTTTTCGGATAGTTCACTTCTTCGCCTTCTTGAAAAATTTCATTTTTGGATGTTCCAGGTACCGAGAACACTTTGAAAATCACGAAATGATGAATTTCAACAACGTTTTAAAATCGGTAACCATTCGAGAGTTCGATACTCACTTCACAGCCCCGCTTTTTGGATACGATTCCGTGGATCATTACTACAATCATGCAGCGCCCAATAAAAAAGTAAGCCAGTCCTCATTTACCTATTTTTTGCGCAATTGATTGAATCATGGTTCATTCTGTTAGGTCAAAAAGATTCCTGTTCCAACGCTTTGCCTAAATGCTGACGACGACTGCTTCAGTCCTCGTGAAGGTAAGAATAATTACTGAATGCTCGCTTCGATGGATATTTCTCTTATATGCATTTCGTTGTCTTGACTTTAACGTGAGAGCTCTATTAATGGGTTTTTTTGCTCAAGTTCAGGTCCAAAATCAAATACTTAGGTAAAATCCTCAGTTTGTTTTTAAGTGATTCATGAAAACTCTGTTGCTTTTTGCTACGGGAGTCATAAACCTTCTGGAAGCTTTATGCACTACTTTTTCTGTTTGAGTGCCATTGATATGCCCTTTAGAGCTACTTAGTGACTCTCCTTTTTGACCAAATCTCCTTTTCCGGGTGTATTAGTTTCCAAGGGTCGAGCTGTCAGGTTTT